ACTAAAGCAAGCCCATGTTGGAGAGAGTCTAGAAAGTACCAGTCCGGTCCAGCAAGTACCACGGGGGGAACTGTGTGCACCATGGGCCAGGGACACAAGGCAGACCAATGCAGCACAGAAGTATAAATGAAGAGGCTGCGTCCATTCATTCATTCATTCCTGCGGATGCCATGCGGAAGCGCTGCCTAGCAGCTTGTGCGAGGAGGTCTGCAGAGTGCCCGAAGACGAAGTGGGCAGAGGAGTAGAGTGCAGCGATAGGTAGTGGCAGCTAGCGCTGCCATAGCTGTAGCCTAGMATGTGTGTGTGTGAAGTGTGATACTGAGTGTTGCGTGTGGGACATCGAGGGTGATCCAGAGTGCGAACAGTGAGTTGTGTGGGCGCTCAGTCGCCATAGCCAGTTTGAAGAGAATGTGGATACGATATCTTGAGTACTGAGTGGGCGCCTGTCGCCAATTTGCTGTTTCGCTGTTTGCATACATGACAAGTTGAATAATCGTAGTGTGATTTCACCACTAACTCAGAAAACCCCCTCATAAGTAGAAACCGAAATACATGCCCTATGGAAGACAACTCAGACCCAGATCGAAAATCATCCAGACAAAACACTAGAAATTATCAAAAGATTCACCACATCCAAATTAGGAGGAAATCTAGGCACCATAGAAGGAACCAGACTGATAATGAAGGATTGGTTAACCATGACATCCCATCACATCCAAAGACCCATCATCAACTCGACAAGCCCACAGACCACCACCCCAGAGGCAGACCCCCGCAGTCTACAGGATAGAGCAGACAACACAATCTAAATCCAAAAGGCCAAGAAATCCATTAACACTACCTACTAATCACCCAGTAACACCACAGTCAACAGCACAAGTTCAACTAAACCAGGCACCTTCCTTGCATCCAGAGCCAAACCCCTAAGCAGTGAAACACATACCTTACACGCCCTCCAGCTCCCCCCACCCCTCCACCTCCCACCCCACTGAAAAGTTCTACCACCCCCATTTGGCTATCCCACACCTACTATGCTCCCCATTACACCTAACAACCTTCACCAGAGACTATACCCCTCCCATAAGTAGAAAACGGACAAGGGCTTAGGGTTTAGCGTTGGAGGGAAAAGCAACTTATTAAAATTAGAGGGCTAAAATGAAGTCTAAGGCTAAAGAGTACTACAGTGCCTAGAAAGGTAGGGGTAGGGTCATAGTTAAGGGCGCAGATGAAGGCTGAACTAGCTCTACCAGCAATCCACACAGATCTGACAGCCATACAGCTCAGAGGAAAAGCTAGAGTCAGCCCATATATGCGGGACTTCAGCAACTCCAAGACAGGTCCATAAGTCCGAAAGGCCTTCCAAGCTCAAGAATACGTTAAACAGGCTAACTTAGGCAGGGGTGAAGAGTGGTATATCCTTCCTTTGGGAAGTAAGAAGGGGGAGGAGCGTGTGCGAGTACCCATAGTAATTCTTTCTCATTTGCCGGTGGAATACAAATCGGACTGATGCTCCCCAGAATGGAAAAGGAGCCAGAACCTTAAGGTTCTGTAACTTCTGTTAAAAAAACAAAAAAAAAGAGTACACGGCCCAGCCTTGCAGAAAAGAAACTTGTCACCTACTCTGCCGTTGATAAATCTCATCAATGGCCTTTGTCGTGTTTCCGGCCTCCGAAAGTCGCGGTGAGGGGCCTGCAGCCGATGTATGGCCATGTACTGGTGGTTTAAGGGCGATGCTGATGTCAGCACTCTCACATGGTTGACGGAGATAGCACTGTGACCTGTCGTCGAGACTGTGTGACCGTCCTTATCTTCAGCCAATGGCAGGTGCAGCGAGGAATGAGGACGGCAGGGTGCAAGGTGGTCGAGATGCATGATGTCGGGAAATGACGACGCAAGATGGCATAGAGCACCCCTGACCCATCTCTTAGGACCACCCAGGAAGGAAGGTGTTGTGTCGTCGTCGTAGTAGTGGTAGACGCATGGTCCGTTTCCCTTCTTTTTTTTGTTAGTTGGAATGGGAGGGGGGAACGTAGGAGCAGGGCCGTGGGGATGAGATTTTAGTTACTTTGATCTGGGGGGATGTTGTAGCATGGGGGATTACGTGGCATTGTGCGAGGGGGTTTGGTGCGTGGATAGTAAGGAGTAGAAGTAGACGTCTTTGACGTCGAGGTGGATCAGCCAACGTCTTTTTCTTTTCCCCCATTATGGGGGCGGGAAAAAGCGGGGGAGGAGCTCACGTAAAAGTAGCAGTAGAAGTCGTCTTCAGGGAGGGGCGTGAGACCGGAGAAGGAGGGTGGGGGCGGGGGGGGCGCGTTGTAGTGGGCGGGGGTAGCGTGTCATTGTGCCGGAAAGGGGTGGGGGTCAGGCCCATGCGTAGTAGTAGTAGAGGTGGGTAGGGGCGGGGGGGGGGGGGAGGAGCGCGTGTAACTAACTAAAATTTCCTGCCCCTGTCCCTAGATTGATCAAGCGCCTGTGGCAGGACTGAACGGAAAAGAAATACACGTGCATGCAGTTGACCTCGTGTGGGAGAACCACTTTCTGAAGAGAGAGAGAGAGAGAGAGAGAGAGAGAGAGAGAGAGAGAGAGAGAGAGAGAGAGAGAGAGAGAGAGACGATCATGGTGAAGGCAGTCGTGATGTTCCCACGACACATGCCGACCGTGTTGGGACTGCGTGACAAAAATCGTGGTGCTGTGGGGTTGACGGCATTCTGGGGATCCACAGTAACCGTTGCTTTGCATACGGTTTTTTGTCCAGGCCGCTCGGCTGTTTGAATGGTACAAAGTTACAACGAACAGCCCCTGCCAAAAAACAATTGGGGATAGGGGGGGGTGGGGGGGCGGCTGTCGGTGCATTTGGCCCCCCAGTTTTTGTTTCTGTTTTCCATATTTTTGTTTTGATTTTCAAAAAAAAGAAAGAAGGACGAAAATCAGGGTCCTTGTAGTCCTTGAGGTGGACCAGCAGGCCCACCTCAGGGGCCGAAACAGCGCCTGGGCCTGGGTGCAGGGTGCTATGTGTTCCCATGAACTGGGGACAGCCCGTTCATGCCCCCCTGGCTGCATGAATGGCCGTTCACGAGGAAAAGAGGCCTTTGCAAAGGGGGCAAGGGGGGGGGCAGCGATGTCCAACCGGCAAAAACAAACTGTTACGATCCTGGCTATTGCAAAGTGCAAATACACAAGGAAAGACAATGACGTTCAGTTGCAAAAGAAATGAAAGAACTGGAAAGAGAAAGAGACAAAGGAAGAAGAAGAAATAAGAAAGAAAGAAAGAAAGAAAGAAAGAAGAAGAAGAAGAAGAAGAAGAAGAAGAAGAAGAAGAAGAAGAAGAAGAAGAAAAAGAAGAATGTGCGAGGCACAGGGCCTCAGTATGCCCTACAGGGCCTATTTTCAACACAGTCGGCCGCCCTAAGTGAAGGCAGGCTCGACCGAGGCCTACAGGCCATTTCGGGGTCACTACGCAGCTGGGGAAATTCAGGCAGTTGCGCAGCGCCAGTTGGTTGGAAGCGCCCAGGCCCAGGCTGCCTTTCATTGTATATAACTGAGGCAGGCCCTGGGCCGGATACACAACGTGGACCGAACAAAGGCTGAGGGCAGTTGGGTGCTGGTAACCACCACGTGCCCTGGGCATGTTTACTTCGGACTGAGGCTCAGCCTCGTGGGGCTTACCGGAAGCTTCTGGGCCAGGGCCCAGTGCCGCATTTCCGATTGCAGCAGCAGGCCACTTCGATATAGGGAAGGGCTTGCCTACGCATTGAGCATTTGGGCACTGGCTGCATGCTGCGCTAACGCTGGCCAGGCTCACGCGCTCACGGGCGAGCTGGAAGGAGCAGGCAGCCATAGCCGAGCTGCGCTGCTGTATGCTGGATGGGGGCGCATGGTGGTCCTTGGGTGCATGTGGCATCTGTGAGTTGGGGAACGAGGTTGTGAGTGATACGAGAGACATACCTGGTGCTTGAAGCGTACGGCATTGGCCGAGATCTGCTCGTACTTCTGGGTGCTGTTGACGTCATCAGCGGCATTATAGATAGGCTAGATAGGATCTGTCATTTGTAGTCTGGGCGCCGAGCGCCAGATAGGATATCAACATTGGTTCTTCGTTGATGATGATGAGACTGTTCCAGCATTGTCAATTATGAGCTTTTGCTGTGCTCTTATTTGGTGGAACTCGTGATGCAATTATGCTATTGGTTCGAGGTCACGACTATCTGGTCTCATGTGTATGATGCTGTTTGATTTCTGAAGTTCGCTATCGCTCATTTTCCTTGCAAATGCAAGAACTCAACGTAAAATATGCAATAGTCTTGAACCGCACGTCTACACTTGGGTCTAAGGGCCGTAACAGGGGCCAAAGGCCACGCCCAAGTCATAGAACTGCCTGATACAAGGCCTGCTGCTGTGGGTACCCGAAGCACGGCCTAAGCAGGGGTCTCAGAGGCCCTGCGTGCGACAGTTGACCGAGGAAAGTCAAAGGTCAACAGCAGCTCGGAAATTCAGGCTCACGAGTCAAAGTCTACACGGTCCCAGCCCAGGCCACAGACCAGACACACACGTTTGGTTGTTTGCACGTATTTGTCCAGGATTCAGTCCAAGTGGGAATCTGCAACTGTATGGAATCCAGGCCGTCGACTGTGGGTCAATCTGGGCTGCCGTATCTGTGAAACCAGAGGATGGTCAATCCGAGTCAACACTGTATGTTGACCCAGCCCCTGCTGACTGATTCAGTCTTGCACTTGCTGCTCGATGCTGGCTCTACGCTGGCTCTGCGCTGGCTTGACATTGGATGACGATGCAAGACTGCTCCGCGTTACTGGACGCTGGCGCCATCTCTGTCTTTGGGTGCCAGCTGGATCCGAGGCTATGCTGATGTGGTGCTGGGCACCC